CGTCCCCTAGAGTCGGAAACGACTAGCACATATATGCGAGGGGAACCTTTACCTTTACCTTTTAGCTATCAAATGTGTACAGATAGTCATAGATTTACAACAGTTCATTTACCGACTGGTCAGGCACTGGAAAAAGTGACTTACAACAGTTTTTCATACTTACAACTGTTGCAGCATCCCCACAGTCATGTGAACTAAATTTGGACTTTTGGCAACTGACTCATGATGGTTGCAGAGTCCCCGGGGTCAAGTGATTCTCCTTTGTGACCTTCTTACAAGCCAAGACAATGGGGAAGGGCAGGTTCACTTAACAACCGCAGCCATTCATTTAACAACAGTGGCAAAAAAACACCGTAAAATGGGGCAAAATTCACTTAACACCTGTCTCACTTAGCAACAGAAATGTTGGGCTCAGTTGTGGTGGTAAATTGAGGACTTCCTGTAACTAAAAGAATAACAGGAAGCAGGGAGATTGTTTCTGTGGTTCTCACCTTTTGGTAGCAGTAATTCACTGGCTGCTGTTACGTAAGAAATTTGGAATGCTAGCTTAGGTGGATGATACAAAAATGATCGAGGAAAATGGAAAAAAAATAAATTTCTGCAATGAAGATTGTTCTGCGTATGCACAGAACCGAAATCAAGATGGCGCCGCCGTCAGTAGAACCGGTTCAGGGGCGTAGCAGACCGAGTTACTACCTACTCACCGAACCGGTCTGAACTGGTAGGAACCCACCTCTGGGACAGATGTGATGGATTGTGACTTTGAAGGGGAAGGTGGTATAATGGACTAGAGCAGGGGTGTCGAACTCAACGCCCGGGGCCCAGATCCAGCTTACGAGGTGCTTAGATCTGGCCTGCGGGGCTACCCTGTAAACAGGAAAGGACTGCCCTGCGGTGCCTCTGCCAGCAAAAACTGAGGTCAGGAGGGCCACAGGCAGCTCTGTTTTTGCAGAGGGTTACAGGAAGCCGTCGTAGCTGAAAATGGAGCTTGAGAGCCCACAAGCGCCCCCAAACATGAGTGACACTGAGCTGGCCAAGCCCACCTTGCCCCCCCCCCCCAAAGTCAAACACAACCCTGATGCAGCCCTCAATGAAAATGAGTTTGACACCCTTGGACTAAAGTGAGGGTCTCTGTTTTCCAAGAAGGAGGGAGCACATTTGGGGCGCGGGAGGAGGGGAAGAGACAATTCAGCCCAGGGCTGACATTGGAGCCAGAGGAAGAGATTTAGGGCAGCCACTGCCTAGAATTCCCCAGGTGAGAGTAGAACTGGTTTAGCAGGATTCTGTCAATATATAAAGAATTGAACTTGGGCTGGATAGTTCTTGGGCTGGGCCTGACAATGAGCTCTGAAGAGTTCTGTAGCTTAGATGACTATGAGTTGCTCCTATATGACTTCTTTCCTACATTCGCCTTTTTTCCCCCTGCTTATACCAGTATTTCTCAACCTCTAAAGTTCATTTTCCACAGTTCTCTAGTGTGGAGTGTTGAGAAACATGGATTTATAAAGGAGGAGGAAGATCTGGAATTCATACATTTGGTCAGTTTGAGAGTTGCACCAGAGTCCACACAGCATGCTGGGGCCTAGACTCCAAAGGCACATGGGACCCAGGATCCATTTTAGGAAGAGGTTTGATTTCTAAAGCAAGGGTCTCCACTCTTGGCAACTTTAAGCCTGGCGGACTTCAACTCCCAGAATTCCCCAGCCAGCGAGCTGGCTGGGGAATTCTGGGAATTGAAGTCTGCCAGGCTTAAAGTTGCCAAGAGTGGAGACGCCTGGTCTAAAGAATGACATTGTGTCCCCTTCCCCCCCCCCTAAAAAAAACCCCTCAGAAACGCACGCACGAACGAAAATCAGATAAATTTATGATCTACAGGTTGTCCTTGCATTACAACCATTCATTTAGTAACCATAACAAAATTACAACAGCACTGGGGGAAAAAAAGATTTATGATTGTTGCCCAGTCGTGAAATGGTTTTTTACAACTATTGCAGCATCCCCATGGTCACGTGATCAAAATTCAGGCACTGGGCAACTGGCATGTATTTATGACAGTTGCACTTCTGGAGTCATGTGACCACCATTTGTAACCTCCTCAGCAAACTTCCAACAAGCAAAGTCAATGGGGGGAAGCCAGGTTCACCTTAACAAAAATATGATTCACTTAATTGCAATGGTTTGCTTATAAGATAGCAGTGTTCCAATATCTAAGGGGGCTACCATAAAGAAGAGGCAGGCAACCTATTCTCCAAAGCACCTGAAGGCAGGACAGAAAGTAATGGATGGAAACTAATCAAGGAGAGAAGCAACTNAATGCATGGAATGTGTGATGAAATGTTGATTTGTAAGTGCTAATTTTCAGACGTAAGAATACAAAGATGCATAAAAGATGCGAACCAATACCGTAGGTCAGTTTTCTGTTTCCTGAAAATTATCCCTTTCTTCTCTTGTGCCATTGGTAAAAAAACAGAAGACTAATTCAAAGCATTTAAAAAGAAAATGCATACTGACAGCATGCAAGTGTCAGCAAAGCCTTCCCCTGACAGATAAGGGAAAGAGGTATATGACCCTACACTTTCAGAATCAAACAGAAAGAAATCCCCTCCCAGACTAAACGTGTCTGTGTGTTTTGCGCCTATACTTTGCAATACATAAGTGCAACAGACCGATCGGGAACCTGAAATCCAACTGCTTCCCCAAAGGCAGAGTGCTCTAGTGTGCTTCCAGCAGCCCTTCGGGGCCGGTAGTCCTGTTCACGATTATCACAAGGAAGCCCCGCTCTGTTAAGTGGAGATTACTTTCAGGAAAACAATTTGCGGACTCGTCGCCTGCCTTATGCGCTCACAGCTTCAAAAAACGTCCCGGATAGATGCCAATAAGTGACGGGGGCTGCAGGTGCCGGGCAATTGAAGCGCTCCACTCTACCCAGAGGGAAGGAGGAGGCAACCATCAGGAGCAGTCACAGTGTCCGCCAGGCCACATGGCAAAATGGATGCAATGTGCCCATCCGAACTGAGGCACGAGCCGCTGCCGCCGCAATTTCCTTTCCACAGCCACCTCCCTCCTGTCCATCGCACATTTCCTTCTGCGGAAGCCGAGTCTACCCCTGAGACGCTTCTGCCTTTTATTCATGACCGCCTTTAAGTTGCTCGTGCAGTGATTGGCTGGGCCTGCCGAAAAACGGAACTGGCTTGGTAGCGCAACCACTCCTCAACAAGCTTGAACAGAGTCCTGGGCCAGGAGCTGCTGGTGGTGGTAGCGGGAGAGGGTTTTTACCTGCCCAGCTTGTCAATTCCTCTCAGTCCTGAATTGCATGACGTCATTTAAGCTTCGTTGCTCGCCCCAGTTGGGCAGTTTCGTTTCAGGGAAGGAAGGCAGAGCCGAAGATTGATCACGCTAAAAAAAACACTGCACAGCGGTTGGCGCGCCGTGTGCGGCCGCGCAGCTTAGAGGGAACATTGACCAGGACACATAGTATTGAAACACAAGTGGATGTATTGACGGTGCTGGAGGAAAGGCAGGCCTAAAGAAGGGAGGGGTTTTGGTCCCATTTGTACGCTTAAAATATGTGTGGTTGGATGCGACAAGGGTTGGAAATGATGGCCTCTTTATGACTCATGGACTTCAAAACAAGATAGAGACTCTCTTGTATGGATCTCGTGGTCTTTCCCTGCTTTGCAAGGCCTTTTTTCCTTGAGTGAGCAAGCAGAAGAAAGCTGTTTTAAAACCTCGGGTCACGAACGCTTCTGACCATGACCAAATCGGGTGCTGACCAAAAAATCCACTGAATGTTTCACTCTAGTGACAAACACATCCTCGGGTGGCGATCAAACACAGCCATGGCAATTTTCCCTGCCATTTTTTTTGTACGCACATGCACAATCAGTCTTGCTTCCGGTCACCACCAAATCGAGTTGCGATTGAAGTCCTGGAATGGATTACAGTCGTGACCAGAGGTTCCACTGTATGTTATCAGATGCTGATAGATTAGTCTTACACCACTGATGAACAGAGAGTTTGCAGACCAACATTCAGTGGTGTGTTAACCATTAAGCAGACAAAGCATGTGCTTAGGGCACCGGGCCCAAAGGGTGCACCTCAAAGTTGAGAAAGAAAAAAAAAGCCCAATGAAGATTTGTACAATATGCGCCAAGATTTGTCAGTGCTTAAGGCACCAGTGAACCTTAATCCGCCACTGGCAACATTTTCTGAGAGGGTGCACAGTTGCCATTGCTGCCTAATATTTGCATTCTTGTCTGTTTCTTAGTAAAATTTAATCAGAAGCGACATTTTGGGTATGGCTTAAACCCTACAGGATGTGTCCTTTGTATGAAGAGTCAGATTAATAACAGATAATGTTAAATCATAAAAAGGGGCCTTTCCAGTAATATATATATATATTTGCTTCTTTTGCTCTTTGAAGAAAGCACTGCACCTCCGGGCCACCAAAACGTTTCGGGACTCTCAAGGTATCGTGAGGAAAACCGGAGAAGAGTGGTTGGTCACCATGGCGGACACCGAAGCCCACATCCCTGATGTTTATGAGGAAATGCTGGGCATTACTGACATCACCACCTTGAACAGTTGCCAGTATTGTGTAGTTTGTGACCCGATAGGCGTAGATGGCAAACCTCAGCTTGGGCAGAAGAAGGTCATTAAGGTATGTATCTTTATCTCGGAAGCATGAAGGGCTCTAATGATATGCAGATGGTCCTTGACTTACGGCCAAAATTATGCCTAAAATTTCCATTCCTAAGTGAGCCTGTTGTTAAGTGAACCTGGCTTCCCCACTGACTTTGCTTGACAGAAGGTGACAAAATGTGATCACATGACCTGGGGGCACTGCAACCATCATGGAAATGAATCAGTTGCTAAGCATCTGAATTTTGATCATGTGACCCAGGGGTGGGTTGCTGCCGGCGTTACTACCAGTTCACTGCGCGCGCAATTGCTTATAAATTGTTCTGCCATTGCGCAGAACATTAAATTAGGACTAAAAAACATGCCGGCAACGGCATGGGCAACCGGGGAACTGGTTCAGGGGCATGGCCAGGCTACCGTCCCTACCAGTTTGGCCACCCAGTCACAATTTCCACTACTGGTTTGCGCGTCAACCAGTGTGAACCAGTAGCAACCCATCTCTGACATGACCACAAGGCTGGTGCAACTGTCATAAGTGAGAAAAATGGTTATATGTCAATTTTTTAGTGCCGTTGTAACTTCGAATGGTCACTAAATGAATGGTTGTAAGTCAAGGACTACCTGTACTATTATTCAGTAGGGTAGCCCTAGTGATTATAACATAACTCCTTAAAGCAGTCTATACTTCAAGAGAAGCTCCTATTGGGAGACAGATCAGGAAGCTGTTATGTTTTTTATTAGATGCTACATTCATGGTAAATTATTTGGGAAGAAACCTTGATAGTATCCACAGCTCCTGTTCTCTTAAACCATGTTACTCCAGAGAGCAGGAAAGCGATTGCAAGCGGAACAAATTTAGGCTAAACATTAGGATAAACTTGCCAGAAAGCACAGTTCTGATAGCATGCAATAGTATAGTCTTTATTGTCATTGTACAAAATAAATACAACGAAATTGGCAATGAACTCATTAAGAAATGAAGTGGTGATCCCTTCTTTGCTAAAAAAAAAATGCAGGTAGTCCTGGACTTACAACCTGTCACTTAATGACCATTCAAAGTTGTGATAGACTTGAAAAAAGTTACGATGTGTCATACTACCCATGTCATTACATTTAGAGGGCTTGGCTTGCGTTTACAATCACCTGCATTGTTCCTCAGCCACATGATCGTGTTTTGTGACTAATCACCCCTTGGATAAGCTCAGCTTGGACTTGCAACCATGTGATTCGCTTAATGACTGCAGTGCCGTGTTCAACAACAGTTATAAAAATGTTCATAAAATCGAGTCTGAGTACGGGGTGACTACTTATGACCACAACGACTTAACGAACAAAATTTGATGCTTAGTTGTCGTTGTAAATCGAGGACTTCCTGTATTAAGCTCCGTTTTCTCTGTTTTCATTAGGGATATTTGAAATTGGCTGGCAAATTTTGTTGCATAGGCAGCCCTGAATCTCAGCCACACTGCAGTCTAATTTCAGTAATGGGATTTTGGCTCAGCTTGGGGAATTCAGAGGATGAGGGAGGCTTTCTTGAAGGCTTCAGTTCCTTATTCCCTCTTTTAAACTCTCTCCAAAGTGCTAATTGTGGACTGGGGGAAAAATGGCTATCTTTTTCTGATTATATAACCATGTTACTGATCAGTCTTCTGCTGCCTTCGTCCCGTCCCCCCCCCCCCCCGCCAGCTTTTCAGATCAACCCATTTGTGTTTTAGTACATCAGTTGCAGTTACTGCTTAGTATAATTAACAAGAAATAAACAAGACTTGTATTCTTTTATATAATAGCTGTACCCTGCATGCATCCTTACATCTTTTTTATTCTAAAGGCTTTTTGCATACATTCTTCTCTTACTGTTACAGGAACTGAGAATTTAAACAATGGAGAAGTAATTTTCAAATATTAAGATTTTCCTATGAGGACCTCTTAGAATCTCCCAATTCTGTTTCACCTCTATCTATTTCTTTCTATCTACTTCTATATCCGAGTAGACATGAACATGCAAATGAGCGTCTGTTTTGAATGCGCTCTTTAAAAAGGGACGCGGTGGCTCAGTGGCTAAGATGCTGAGCTGGTCAATCAGAAAGGTCGGCAGCTTGGCTGTTTGAATCCCTGATGCTGTCTAACGGAGTGATCTGCCATTATTTGTCCCAGCTTCTACCAACCTAGCAATTCGAAAGCACGTAAAAATGCAAGTAGAAAAATAGGGACAACCTTTGGTGGGAAGGTAACAGTGTTCTGTGTACCTTCGGTGTTTAGTCATGCCGGCCATATGACCACGAAGACACCTTCGGACAGTGCTGGCTCTTTGGCTTTCAAACGGAGAGGAGCACCACCCCCTAGAGTCAGGAACGACTAGCACATATATGCAAGGGGAACCTTTAAAAAGTAGTTAAAAGTGATCCATTGTGTTCCTGGCTAGTTTGGTGAGGCTTTTACACTATGTATAAAATCCTATAGGTTTTATAACACTTGCTCCATTTTCCCCATCCGGTGGGTGTCCCTCACCTCACAGTTGCCATTTGCAGAGGCATGCTTCAATCTAGAAAAGTCACAGATCAGTTGCTCACTTTTGTCCTCCTGATTAATGTGTGTGACATACTAAGTGATAACATTTACCCAGCCTTGTCTGTGCTCAGATGTTAAACAAGGGTGGACTTGATCAGTGCTTGGATAGAATTCTGGAACTGCACACCAGACTTGAAAAATCAAAACAACTTCACAGAAAACGGGAGTGGCAAACTAATTGTGTAATGCTGCCAAGAAAACAGGGGAGCACGATGGCTCAGTGGTTAAAGTTGTGAGCTTGTCAGCTGGAAAGCTGACAGCCTGGGTTTGAGGCCCGAGGGCTGTGTGACAAGGTGCGCTCCTGGGCTTGCCTCAGCTCCTGCGAACCAAGCAGTTCAAAAGCATGCAAATTCAAGTAGATAAATAGGTACCACATTCTATGTGGCTAGTCCTGCTGGACACATGAGGCAAAATGCCGTCTCTCAAGCGAACCAATAGTAAACAGGGTAGGAACCTCCCATTGATGTCCATGCATCTTAAAGTTGGTTGAAAACGCTGCACTATAGTTTCTGTTTCCAAACTAAGAATGGCACGCAACTTGCCAATAATTTTTGGTGATAGTGATTGGAACTGGAGGATACCATTCTGGTAATTAACCAACATCAAATTAACCACTTTACAGTTTAATAAATAAAGTTAAGCTTCCCCTTCCTTTTTTTAAACCTGTTTTGATCTAGGCTTCCCCAGCAGCATGAAGGCAAGTCCTTGTCCTGATAAAACCCTTTTATTTAATTTACAGTGAATTCCTCTCCAGCAGCGTCCTTCCTGTCCCACAGTCTTTCAAGATAGTTCACAATTGCCGACCTTTATCAAGCTTAGAGAGTGGCCAGGCCGATATCTTTCAGACACCTCAATACTTGGCAAGAATGCAGGAATGAGGGGTCTCTTGCAAGCTCTACTCTCCTTTCGCTCCTCTTTTATTCCCAAAGGGAGGGCCCATTCACCGGCCATCTGTGGCCTTACTCTCGAGTCGATCCTTGTTTCTTAGCTGTTCCCTTAGTCTGGCAACTGTGCATGCGTACACTGGGAACAGGCTCCAGCTGTTTGTCTGCCTCACTGATGTCTGACTCTGAAGGCAGCACATAACTCCCAGATGGCTCCGGCCCCCCTCTCTGCCACCGATGCAGAGCCCTCGGCAGAGACTTCCCCAGACTCCATGACTGGCCCATGTTCCTCCCCAACCTCCTCACTGTCTGAATCTGCTGCCAGGTCCACCGGCCCTGGTGGGCCACAACAAAGCCAATGACTGACAATCATTCTTGAGTCAATTCTTGCTTCTCATTCTGCAGGGCGAGATATCATTCTTCCTACAGCCTGGAGAATGGTTGAAAGATGGGATCCAAGACATTTATGCCCTGTCTGAAGAAGATGGCTTCTTATTACATGTAGTTCGCCCCATTGAAGAAAAAAATGAGGTAGGAGGTCCTGAGTCTCTGTTGGCCAGGGAGGATGGATGGATGGATTGCTACAGCTGTATGTGGCACTTCTTCTCTTCCTCTTACTTGGTTTCTTCCCCAGGACAATGAGGACATTCTGCACAAGCCATGTGACCGCTGGCTGATCCAAGGCCATCTGGAGTACATACATACCACTTGCGGAGGTCGAAGTGATATGTCCAGGATATTAAAACAGAGAAGGTGAGTGGACTAGATCTAGCAGTCTAAGAAGCACATAAATCCTTAGAAATGCAGACTTCTAGAGATCAATTTTAGCAATATGACTGCAGTTCTCTAATGTGGTATGTATGT